AAGAGAAAAAGCACAAGAAAGAGGTCGTAAAAGAGGCTATGGGACTTAAGAAAGAATAGTTATAGTGTATGTGTATGCGTATCTTCTTCGTGATGTTGATCGGGATGAGAAGGGTAAGGGGATAGGGGGAAGGAAGAAGTCATGATGGATTCGAAAGGCAGAGATCGGCTGTATACACAAGAACCAGTCCGTCGGCTGTCCATATCCAAAGATATACATCAATGTCATGATCATGGAACTGACGGTTCGGGAGGGGCGACGGGGGCTTACAAGGAGGCAAGACGAATTAACGATGATGAGTGAAAGATACCAACATCTGATCACGAATCGCACCACCCTCCACGACCCACCCACCCTTTTTTACATAAGGACGAAGGAGGAACTACGTTCGTCGACCGTGTTGGAGCTCACTGGCTGATCGATTCATAGGCAGGCGGAATCTCGTTGGGAGAATGATGTTCATCGCTCGGGGCCCTTCCCGCGTCCTGATGAACAACAACGTCCCCGCTGCCTTCCGGTGCCTCATGCTGCGTAGCCAGTGCCAACCCCGTTCCCGTTCCCGTGCCCTGCCCGTTCCTCGCCAACGCCTCTCGTTCTTTCGCACTCCGTGATGTAGCCGTGGTGCTTGCGACTGTCGAGGGCGGTGGGGACGTCATGGGTTGGGGAGTAAACCAATCGGCAGGGCCAGCGCCGTACATGTTGACAGGCTGCTGATAGCCGCCGGGCGGTGGTGCACCTCCAGGACGGATAAATTGATTGTTGTTCTGAGGGTATCCCTCTGCAGAGGATGGGCCACCATGCTGATGATACGACGTTGCGTCCGAGTAGCGGGAGGGAGAAGTCAAAGGGGATGTAGCCCTTCCGGGCACAGCAGCACCAGCACCAGCACCGGCGGCAGCGGCAGCGCCACCAGCAACCGCAGCATTCGTGAGATAAGGAGAGTCGCCGTACTGACGCATGCTCCCGCCACCGCCGTAGTCACCATATTGTTGAGTGTAGGGCGTCACTTCGTCTGTGAGATCAACTTGGGGGAGTGTGCCTCCACCCGTAGAGTGCCCGACGACACGGTCGGGGTCGAAGTCGCCGTCAAAGTCGTCTTTTTTGGATTTTCTTCGAATGCAGAAGAGGAAAAGAGCGAAGACGATTAAGCCGACGACACCTCCGACGGTGCCACCGACAATAGCGGCTATGTTCGTGTTGCTAGAACCTGAGCTTGTTGGTGCATCGACCACGGTAGGAACGACGGTGGCAAACGTGGTGGTGACGAATACGGTAGATCCCTGTGCGTCTGTTGAACTGAGGCGAGCCAGGTGGGTCACAGTAGAATGGACAAAGACATGTGGCAGACTTACGCATATGTTGTCGGGATCTGGGAAGTCAACGAACTTGTCTCCATGATCGTGGTTGTAGGGGTCGAGGTAGTTGGTGCTGGCGTAGAGGTTCCCGGAGAAGTGGTTGGTGCCGTTGTGCCTCCATTTGTGGATGATGGAGTCGTAGTTGGGGTTGGAGTTGTAGGCGTCGCAGATGAAACAGGGGTATTGGTGGAAGTTGGGGAGGCTACAGAGGATTCTGCTGGGGAAGATTGGGATGACTGATTAGCACTTGAGATGGACGAGGTGGTAGAAGGCACGGGAGAGGAAATCGAGCTACCATAGCTAGAGGATGGGGCTTGTGTCGTTGAGGGCGACGGGGGCGCCGCCGACGACGACATGGAGAAGATCAAGAAGAGGAGAGGCGAAAATGCAAAAAGTTTATGGAAGAGGAGCAAGTGAAGCGAATAGGAGGACCCACAACACCACTGGGCAACCGCTCAAAGAAAACAACTAGAGAAAGGGTTCGATCTGCCCCGCAGCACAATGGAATTTGAAAAATGGTCTATGCAGTGTATATCGTATCAAAACACGAGGCCGGGTGGCGCATTCAGGCGGAGGCCCATACTACCAAGTAGAGGCTAGAAGCCTGCCACTGGCTGCCAAATAGTCACCGTTATCTTGTCGAATCAATGTCGACACAGTGGCGAACGACAAGAAAAAACTGCTCTGCTTAGCAGGTATAACTCACCTGCAATACCCGTAGATGTAATGGTCGACATCGCCGTCAGAAATGGTGCAGCACGACGAGACGGTGTTGGTGACGGTCCAAAAAGTATGGAAGGCGCATGCACGTCCAAATCCGACAGTACGTGCCTTTTTATGAGCGCCAGTCACACTACTCACGGTCTCTCCATGCCCGTTGTACTATTCTAGGTAATGTTCCCTCAGCAAGCATCACTATACATCTCTTCTTGGAGCATCCCCCAACCTTCTATTACACGGTCTGACCTGTGCACTCAGTTCTCAGTTCTCAGCTCTTATCTGCTACTGCCAACACGAGAATTCTGGTGTTTGTGTCGAGGTGACCGGAGTGATAGACACTCCGGAAATAGCCTGTGTCCGCATGCCGGACACAATTCCCTAGTTTTCCCGAACTCGTGTGCACACTGGCTGTCCTCGAAGAGTTGAAGACTATGGGGCGTTACGCACCTATTAATGTACGCTCTCTCGTGCAACAACATCTGATGTGCACGGTATCATTCTGGTACACAGGATCCATTGTTGCAGGATCTTGCGTCATGTTCGGATCAGCCTTTGAAGTCGGACCGTCGTCCATGATTGCCCACCTGCCATAGGTACCTGTGGCTACCCCTGCCACAGGGCGAGAAGCACCGTGACACGCCCATCTAGACCTCATTGATAGGCTGACCCCTCTGTCGACCCACTCACTTCCCCTCTTTTCTTGGCATTTTCGAGGCACAAAGAAGGGACGATACATGCCCAGCAAGGAACCGTCAGTGAACGCCCACAGGCGTCCGCCCATCGGTGTTGCTCATAAACCGGTCACATCAGCACTGACGGGCACTGATCTACAGTCTTCCTTAGTAGGTAGGTTCTTTGTGCACTTGGCCAGAACTTTGTCATGACAATTTGATGGCAATGAACTTCAGGGGTGTGGGTCAAAGACCTTCCTCCATCGAACGGTTCGAACCTCCTCGGAAAGAACTTGCTTCGTCCCTTTTCCAAGGAAAGGCTCCTGATCCGAATCTTGTTGCTGGCACTCACTCTGCGAAGCACGCCTTTCATTGTTTGCGTCGTTGTCAGTCGACCCGTCAGGCATTCATTTGATCTCTTGCTTCACAATATTTTATTACAACTGTAGTCGCAATTACCTGCCCTCAACCGCTGCTGACCTCCACGCCGCTTGTGCTCAATCAAAAACATTGCTGACCGGGAGAATAACCTACGGCGGCCGTCAAATGAAATCAAGGCAGTTGATCTGCTCCGAGGCCTTGGCGTCCTCGTTCTTAACGTATCGACGGATGCTGTTATTTCCGCTTTGCTTAGCTGCCTTGGTACAATGGTCGGAATATAGGGGAGGCGATGGCATGCGCGCCGTGAAAGGACATTAACTGTAATACCCGAGCCGTACAATGTCTCACCATGACCTCGCGCGTGATTTTACTTTCTTGAGGCATATCCGCTGTAGAATGCTGGGTCGGCCAGGGAATAGTGCAGTATCCGCACTAGAATACCACAGGTGGATCACAGGTCCCGGGGCAAACCAAACTGACGAGTTGTCCAACAGGCTCGCTGTCCAACAGGCTCGCTGTCCAACAGGCTCGCTAGCCGCAATCATCGGCCCTAAACTCCAAAGCCTCCATCTAACCGATGGGCTGCGATCTGTGCTCTTCGCCTCGAAAAACGAAAAGGCGGAAAATCCATTCATTCGAGCTCATCGTAAGAATGCACGAGGGTTGCATCGGATGTGTGACGACGATTTCTGCATCCCAGTTGGGACTCAGAAACGGGCGACACACACGCAATTCATGAGAGTATCTAAGTCCCAGATTGAGAGGTGTCATGCTGTGAAGATGATGAAGGGGGACGGTCTTCAAGCTGGAGTAGGACTTGGTTGCTGTGTAACAATTAAAGTTCACAAACATGGCGGAGGCTGCCGAACACCCTTTTGACCTCCGATGGTTTGCCCTCAGAGTCGTATACAGACGTGATCCTTGGGGGTCTGGCATCAGTCCAGAGATAAGATATATTGATAACATGTGATGCATTGACAGCTGGGAGTTCCAGAACTTCCAAAACCCATGGTAACGTGGCTGGGCATAGCCTTATACAGCCTTATACTTAGCCTAAGCCTGAAGTGAGTGCAAGAGAAGGTTAACAGCCAGCGGGATCGACTCTCAAGTCGATGCTTAGCTGCTAAAGATGTCGTGACCTAGAACGAAGTGGTGGCAACCCCCCAATGAATGAGTAAAGGAATACCAAAATCTGGTCGGTAGTCTGATGCATATTCGGGCGACCGTGTGCGGCCAAATGTCGATGCTTTGTATCGATAGATCTCGAGCAATATCATTGTATTACATAGTAGTGATGTCAGGGTCACGGGTGCCAGCGAACAAAACCTTAGATTACCCCAGTTGACCTTGTACAAGACCGCATTAACTTGATTGCAGGACACGTGCTCACCTCAACAACGTGCAAGGAGTGGGGGAGGGGTGCAACAATATTCACTGAATTGTTCCTGTGTCCCCGATGTTGGAACTCAGAAACAGATGACACACGCAACTCGCAGAGCGTAAATATGTGTCCCAGGTTGGAGCCTTTGTGAGACGCGAGGATCGTGAGGGGGTAGTGAGGGGATGGGTAGGTATCGCTTGGAGAGTCTGAGTCGAACTCAGTTGTTGCATTTTTTTCAAAAAAGATGGCGGAGATCGCCGTGTACGCGTCAACGTGGACGAATACCACCAAACTACCGACCATAGCTCGGTAGTCGTTCCTGCGTTTGGGGGTCTCTATCCTTGTCAAATCGTGTCATCTGAGTTGGGGCTGGTCGCTGCATTGACTCGAGAGTCGAGACCATGGGTCCGTGATGGTGAATGAGGAGGGCTACCTATTTGGAGCTGTCGGGTGCCAACCAGTGCTCAAAAGATAAACCCGCCGACCGTTTATGGGTGCATAGCGCAGTGGTAGCGCGCATGCTTTGCAAGCCTCTATGTAACGAACTTACATAGGATGTGTATGAGGTCCAGGGTTCAATCCCCTGTGCATCCAGAACTTTTTACTTCTTTTGCACTTTCGATATCCCAAGAATAGACCCGACCTGGCCAAGTCTTTTTGTACATGCTGAACCCGCGAGCTTGCCCTACCTTCCCGATCTCTTATTGTCGTCTTCAGATCTATCGCCGACGCATCCAACAGGGGGTGGCACTAGGAAATGCTGCAGTGCTCGCTCAAACAACCATAGAGTAGAATAAAACACTAATAAATTATCCAAGAAATACGACGAACCTCTCTATCCTTCCCTACATCACACACCAGGGGACCACACCCAAGTTTTCACCTTGTACGACGTACCACACACCCTACCCTACATGTCGGTCGGGAAGGTGAACCTCATGGACGACACCGGCGCGAGTTCTTCTGCGAATCTGTCCATGAGGTATGTTTGATGATCGAATTTGCGGAGGTGGAGCTACATCCGTGCCGCGAGGATGGTATGCATTACCGTTTGGTACCTGGGAGTAGACGTATGAGCCAAATACTATAGAGCGAGGATGCGGGTGCAACAGTCAAAGAAAGCGGGAACTCACTCCAGCAGACGAGGCTCCGCTCCTTTCTCGAATGATTACTAGTACAGACTAGCCTACGAGCTTACACTCGTGATAAATTATCCAAGGAGTGTGATACATTTTTTGGTTCTTCCCAGTGTTGCCCACCAGCGGACCACACCCTATCCTATACGTCGGTCGGGAAGGTGAACCTCATGGGCGTCACCGCCGCGCAAGATCCTCCTGTGAATATGTCCACATACACGTGTTGATCGACTTTGCGGAGGTGGAGTTGCATTCGTGTCGCAAGCATGGTATGCATTACCGTTTGGTATCTGGGAGTGAACGTATGAGCCGAATACCATAGGTCGAGAATGAGGATGCCGCAGTCAAACAAAGCGGGGAACTCACACAGTGATGATGTCAGTGTATTGGGGCTGGGGATACAATTAAGGCAACAGAAAGAAAAGCAGAGCGGGAAGACGAACAGGAACGAGCAACATGATGAGGACGTTTGCGATCGACATGCCTGAACAGTGAATTGTTTCGGCTGATCCGGAAAGAGGTGATTGCGGTAAAAGCTTACTGAACACACTGACGCAATAAAGTACTCCATCACGTGTTATGTTTTGGACCAGGGCGTTTGGCGTGTGCCGGAAATGCCGGTATGCACGATAGACCGTGAGGATGGTGGTGACTGAGAATGAGAACAGATGAGGCGCTGGAGCACGTCATACGGAATGTTTACATTTGGCGTACCGGCGTCGGCGACCATGATAACCACGTAAGTTGCAAAATTGACAGAACTACCGCCTGTCTTGTAACATCCAGAAATGATTGGCAACGGGGGTTGCCCATCTACACAGTATCAGCTCTGGGAGAGGTCACCACATGTAACGTACTTACATGTCACAGAGGGCAAAAAAGAATGAAGAATGCACACTATGGCCGCCACATAGGCCTGAGCCGCAAAAGTCAACGGAATAGCCAAGAGGTTCAAAGAGAGTGTCGTAGCCTTACAACAGCGACACAGCAGTATATTACAAGAACTGCCTTATCCCGATTCCACATAGCGTAGGCTCGGAGGCCAAATATCACTGGAATACCGGCGCTCAGATTAAGAGATCAGTGACACATGTCCACTCACCCTGCGAGAGAGTAATAGCAACGGTCTCGAGGACTGCACAAACGCAATCAGTGAAACGAGATACCTAATAGATTGATACGCTACTTACCGACGAGAACGTAGAGTACTGTCTTACAAGTCTAAACCCAACGCGGTGTTGTTTGTCACTCTGCTCGTGTCTGGTGGGAAGTCACTTACCTGGGCATCCACATTTACTGCAAAGGAACCTTTGGAAAGTCGAGGGAAATCAACCACAGAATAACAAGACACTAGATGTGTACGTACTGAACAGCATGAATGGGATGATTATGAAAGGGATGTATCTTGTCGGCACAAAGAGGGCTTTTCCAGCGCTCCAGCCTCCTCGACTCCAAATAAACATCACCTGTATCTTGATCAGGTGCGTGATCTCATGTGTAGATAAACGTTAAACATACCTCGTCCTCGAGTTGATAAAAGTAATCAAAAATCTGTTTCGTTGATGGCATTCAGTCATGGAGAAGGCTTCAGGCTGGGAGAGAGCTGCTCACAAACAGAGTGGCAACTGATACTGTAAAAAACTTCAGCAAGGGATCACCAACGCGAAGAAGTTGGACATACCTTGGAAACACTGTACAAGGCGAGACCGGGGCTGCAGTTCAGCTAACTCAGCCTATCATCTGGTGTTAGGAATACGCACGTTAACGGTGAATGAAGCGTCCATTGCAGAGATTTGCCCTCGCCACTGGCAGGAGGTTGCTGGATTTGAACGATTGCGAGAGGCTTAAGCGGCCACTGTGCTCCACTATAAGAGAGCAACCCAGAGCGCTCATAAATCCTCACCACCATGTGCGTCTGCTCATCGTTTACATACGTTCATTGATGGGCACCGCCGCCCACCTGTGTTTGATGGCAACTTAGCCCAGGGCAGCCTTCAATCTGAGTGCACTCTCGAAAGCTTTGCGCTGTCATGGAAATCGAAATTGAGGTTCCATCACGACAAATTCCAACGTACCAACAGCATTCTACGCATCTTTTCCACACTGGCATGAAAGTCACCTTCAAGTTGATCATTACCTCGTGTACAACGTTATTACGGATGATTGTGGCTGAGCGTAAATCGCGTGGGAAGCTATGTAATTGCACCGATGTCACGGTCTGGACACACAACTTCACTGGCACG